GGGCCACACCCCCCGGCCGCCCCGGAGCTGGGGGGCAGCGGCAGCTTCTGCCCCACAGCCACCCTGCGGGGTCGGGGTGGCTCTTACCCCCGGCTCCCTGGGGCTGTGGTGGGCCTCTGCGGGACCAGAGGGGTGATTTGGGACTAAAATCCCATCTTTTCTTACCCTAGATCGCAGCGCGGACCGGCTCCTGGCACCAGCGAGCCAAACTGGATTTCAACCGGTGATCTGCGAGGTGAGAGGCTGCATCCCCCTGCTCCGTTCCCAGGCTCTTCAAGACCACGTGGGGCCACCGAAACTGCCTAAGAAAAGGTTTTGTGTCTAATGGGGTATTTGCCAGCAAATTCAAGCCACGAACACTATATATTTCTTTATTTGTGAAGGTGTTTGAAGTCCTTGAATTTACCCTTTGGTCACCTTAAATCTAGTTTCTAATCCCCAGCGCAGTTAATCAAATCCACAGTGGTTTGAATTATGAGATGTCTGAGGGGGATTTATAGCTTGTATTGCTGATTATGCCTTGACTTTATTATATTGCAAATATCTAACTTATGGTCACGGCTGAGATTTACGGTCCTGAGGTAGGTGCTTAGGATAACTTTTAGCAGCTCCAGATGTAATTGGAGGTGACTGATGGGGCTGTCGCTGCAGATAAACATGCAATCTGTAAAACGTTAAGACAGGGGAAAAAAAGAGGCAGAATAGGTGAAAAGAGTGGGTCAGCCTTGGAAAAATAATCATGTAATTGGGTGTATTGCTGAGCAAGGCTCCGGGATGCCTGGTCTGGCTGAGCCATCCCTGCCCGGGAAGGGGTTTGGGGCTTGTTGGTCTCCAGAAAATACCAGGATTTAGATCTTTGTTCCTTCTTGCTCTCAGCTGAAGGTTTTTAGGGTTTGAAATAGTCCTGGGGAGGGGGAAGGGGTGATAAATAGAAACTGGGGTACTCACGGAGCTGATGCCTGCCTTCCCAGTTCGGGGGGCTCTTTTGGACCTGACTGGCGGTTTCTCCCCTGCCTTGGAGGAGCAGTGCGCGCCCCTCGGCCAGCATGACGAGCGAGGTGGTGGAGAATGAGTTTGAGTTTTACTCCAAGGCGGAGAAGTACTGGAAGGACGTGCCCGCCACGGTGGACGGCATGCTGGGGGGCTACGGCCACATCTCCAGCATCGACATCAACAGCTCCAGGAAGTTCCTGCAGAGGTTTCTGCGGGTAGGTGGCACGGTCTGCCATGCTCCCAAAGCCCCATCCTTCTCTCAGCACACAGCTGGGCTTTTCCCTCTGACTTGTTCCGTGGGATCCTCTGTTGTGTGCGTGCTGGGAGAGCTCTGCCCTGCAATGGGTCCCCCATACCCCAGCCCGCGTGGTTGCCCCTTTTCTCCTCTGTGGGTACCTCGCGGTGGGATTCAGCCCCTCATGGTTGTTGTTCCAGGATGGTCCCAACCGGACGGCCGCGCTGTGGGCTGGGGGGCGGGCAGCGGCCGGATCACCAAGCGGCTGCTGCTGCCCCTCTTCAAGACGGTGGACATGGTGGACGTGACGGAGGACTTCCTCACCAAGGCCAAGAGCTACCTGGGAGAGGAGGGCAGGCGGGTGCGCAACTACTTCTGCTGCGGCCTCCAGGACTTCAGCCCCGAGCCCAACTCCTACGATGTCATCTGGATCCAGTGGGTCATCGGTGAGGGTTGCTCAGCTTGCAGGGGTCTCGCCAGGCCGTCCTCTGTCCAGCTTCCCCTGAGGGGTGGGTGCCCCACGCACTGGGGAGAGCTTTGGGCAGGAGAGCTCGAGGTCTGCGCTAAGGAGAAGCATCACGGCGTGGGTGGGAGGCTGGGTTGGAGACTTGCACTCCGTGGGCACAGGTTTCTGCGGGTAGGTGGCACGGTCTGTTGTGCTCCCAAAGCCCTGTCCTTCCAGCATAGAGCTGGGCTTTTCCCAAGCCCTCAGAGGCCAGCGCAGAGGTGTGGGTTGGGTGGAGCTGGATAGAGCTGGTGGGACACAAGCTGGACACCCCCAAGCTAAAGCTTTCACCTGCAAACAGCTCGAGTAGTTGGCTGCCCGGATCAGGAGGGACCCCAGCCACAATCTCCTGTCTCCTCCCCTCATGTCATGTGCTGCTGGGGGGGGCTCCTGCCCCGGTCACCCCATGCCCTCTGCCCCCTGCTCTGCCCCTCCAGGACATCTCACCGACAACCACCTCTCTGACTTCCTGAAGCGGTGCCGCACCGGCCTGCGGCCCAACGGCATCGTGGTCATCAAGGACAACATGGCTCAGGAGGGCGTGATCATGGACGATGTGGACAGCAGTGTCTGCCGGGACCTGGACGTGGTCCATAAGATCATCCGCCGAGCTGGGCTGCACCTCCTGGCCGAGGAGCGCCAGGAGAACTTCCCCGATGAGATCTACCATGTCTACACCTTTGCCATGAGATGAGGGTGACTGGTGATGGGAGAAGGTCTCTCCGGGGCCAGCTCGGGGCACGGTCCAACACGGTGGCTTCTGCCAGAAGGGTGAGGACCATGCCTTCACCGCGGGGTGGTGGACAGCGGCAAGGGTGTCGCGACTCCCTCCCTCCGGGGCTGGTGACAAGGATGGGGCTTTGTCTTCCAAGTTGCTGCTGTTTGTGAAAAGACGTGTTTGCCAAATACATTTTCCTGCTGTTGCACTTCTGCACGTGGGCTTTGTTGGACACAGCACGTTGGCTTGATGCCACCTTCGGGGGGGCTCAGTACAAGAGCAAGAAGGTCTTCTCCGTGAGCACCACGCTCCATGGGCCGCAGCAGGCCGCTGACCGCTGTCGCACAGGGCTTCTGCTAGCGAACAGGAGCTCGAGCACCTCTGGGACTTTCAGGGCTCCAGTCCTTGCTTGGGTGTTTGACCCTTGCCCGCTCTTGAACTCGCTGCTGCTCACTAGCTGGGTAAAAGGCAAACGGGAGAAATCTGCCAGTTCCCTGCAGTGGGTTGGGGAGGCAACACCAGGTTCTGGGGCTTTGCAGGGGCCACTATGTCAAACCCACGAGCAGGTGTCCTGCATGTGCAGCAGGAGGGGAGGGGGACACAATCCTGGGTCCCCCCCATGTCCTCCTCCAGGGACAGGGGTAGCCCAGAGCCCTGCAAACCCCAGGGGAGAGCTGGCATGCTGTGGGTGTTAAGGGGACCCCGCTCTGAGCTGCCTGCGGCCCCCCCAGCCTGTCT